TAACGCCTGACATGCACAAGGGAAGGGTCCCTGGGGCAGCTGACAGCTGAGTAATGCACCACAGGACAGGTGGGGTGGGGACTTCAAAGAGCCCCGTCCCACGGGACAAAACAGGTGGGGAGTGACTCCTCTGGCAGAGCCTGTCTGAGGCTGAGCACCCAGCAGCCATGCTGAGCATCCGGAGCAGGGACAGTCACAGCCAGGCAGGTCATGCCTCATGGAGGCTTTGAGCATGACCACAAATGGCCCTGGGTTCAGGCACGGGGAAGAAGGACCAGAGGTCACCGGCTGACTCACTGGCAGCTCTGAGCACCACAATCCCAGCTCCAGCCACGGGCTCCCCTCCAGCCCCGCTCCTCAAAGCACTGCCCAGCACCTCCTGCCACACTCCACACTCGTGCACTTTGGCTGAATTTCTGCCCTCTCCCTGAGAATGCCTCTCCCCCTTCTTTTTCTCCTGAGACCCCCACCTGTGCCAGGAGGCTCATCTCCACCAAACTGGTGCCAGGAGACCTCCAGAGCACTCACAGTTGGGGGGACCTGTGCCCAGGCAGGGTCACCTCACCCTCAGCTCTGGTAGGAGCCCTCAGAGCTCGCCTGGCACCAGGAGATGGAGCTGGGAGTCCTCTGCTCTGATGCCACACCTCTGTCCCAGGAACCCTGGCACAGACACAGTGGGTGTCAGGCTGCAGTCCAGGCTGGGCTGAGCTGGACACTCCCAGCTGGTTTGCTCATGGCCACTACCTTGCACCAGGGCTTGAGGAGGGCAGAGATATTTTTTATAACCTTAAAAGCCCGGGAGCATCTGGATGAGGCCTTGGGGTGAGGCAGGAATGTCCTGAGCTACATCTGATGCCAGGGAAGAAAACATGTCGCTGCCCACGGGGTCCAGCGGGGTTTGTTAGATGAGACAGATGTTTGCTGCCTTGGAGGTTGTGCTGGGAAGCAGAGCTGGGGAAGCCCAGCTTGTGCACCCCACAGCAGAAGGAAGGGAGCTCCTCGCAGCCCAGGAGCACCGCACAGACCATGGTGCCAGTGCCCTCAGGATCACCCACCCACCAGGGCTTTGACAGGTCAGGGTGCTGTGGGTAGAGGGAGGGACAACCCCAGCCAGACCCGGAGCTGCAAACTTCTCTAATTAAGAAATTCAACATGCTTTCAACCTGGAAGCAGCCCATCCTCCAGGTAGGAAGAGGCAGAGGGGGCAAGGGAGATGTTTCCAGTGAAGGACCACTTATGTGGGAATATGGTTTTGGGGAGCCTCCCTTGCTCCTCACCCCCACAGAGACTGAAACAGGGCAGACAGTGGGGGTGGCTGTCGGGTGGCCAGCAGTACTTTTGTGCAGGTTCACAGCAGGATGGCCATGCCTGGGGATTTTCAAGGAGTAGCTCAGGGGTTCATGTGTCCATGTGGTGCTCCAGCCAATGGCAGAGGAAGATGTTTAGGTTGGATATTAAGAAAAATTTCTTCATGGAAAGGATGGTCAGGAATTGGAACAGGCTTCCTAGGGTGGTGGTGGTGGACTCACCATCCCTAGAAGCATTAAAAAAACATGTAGATGTGGCACTTGGTGACACAGTTTAGTGGTGGACCTGGGTTAACAGTTGAACTGAATAATCTTAAGATGTCTTTTCCAACCTTAATTATTCCATGACTCTGCACTGGACACCGTGACCACCCTGGTGTATTTTCTGTGCAGGGTTCAAGACATCCTGTGCTCTGGACACGTTCTCCCCTTCACACTGGCAGGGAAATCTGTGCTGTGCAGAGCTGCCATGGCCAAAACCCTGGGGTTGAGGAGGGGATGGCACCATGCAGGGAGGACACTCGCTGTCCCTGCAGTCCACACATTTTTCCTTTTTCTCCAGTCCAGACCACTGCAAGCTGTGGGTTCCTCCATCCTGGATGGACCGAGAGCTGTTGCCAGGCCTTAGGACTCTCATTTTCCACTAACAGGCATGACTCAGTCACTCTGCTTGACTTGGTGGCCTTTCCTTTTCTATGACCATCCTCCACTCGTCTCTCCCAGAAAATTCTCCTTGATTTTAATTATCAGGTCCCAAGCAGAGGGAACCAGGGGATTAGGACTGGGGCTGGGCTCGAGATCTGAAGATTCATTCACATCAGACTTGGGGCAAGCACCTTCAACTCTCCCTACTTTTGTTTTCCTTTTGGAAAAGAGAACAGACTCTTCCCATTGCCTGTTACAACAGAGCCTTCCTCTTGCCCATGTCAGTGCAATCTCCAGTAGTGCTAAAAATTACTATACTTGTAATGTCACAGATGCTGTACAAAATGCTCACTCAGACCCCATAGCACCCACTAAATGCCATTAATAGAACACTTGGGTTAACTTCAGTTGTAAGACTTTACTAATAAGAGCAATCCCCAGTGGCTCCTTCCAGATAAAATCATGAATTCACAGCATGGTTTGGGTTGGATTTCAAATCCCATCTCTCTCCACCTCCTGCCATGGGCAGGGACACATTCCACCTTCCACTATCCCCTATCCACTATTCAGTTACTAAAGCTGCACACAACGAGGTGCGTTCTGTATTCCTGTTGCCTTTATTTCCAAGCAGATAATCAAAATTTGTAGTTCAGTGGTTTAAAACAACACTGAGCTTTTGCAGGGCAAAAATATTTGACCCACAAGTACCCACAGGCTCTGACACTCATTTCCCATGGCTCTGCAGCCACCTCTAGCAGCTGTCAGAGCCCATACAACAGGAAAGCTCCGTACCACCTGCTGAGTACAGTGCTGTAGAACACCTAATGGAAAATAAGGCAGAAGGACAGGACAAACCCTCAGGCACCTCCACTGCAGTGCTCTGGGGCTGGATCAGGCCTGAGAGCCTAAGTCTGGGAGAGGACCTAGTGCTCCAGGAGCACTCAGCAGCTGCGAAGGGCTGCTCCAGCGCCCTGTAGGACCAATACACACCTCCTGCACAAACTCCTCCTGCACCCAAAGCCCAGCAGTCTGGGGGGCACAGGTTGTTTTTTCACACCTCTACTGGACACTTGAGTGTGCAAGCTGGTCCCTGAGCAGGGGAAAGTTCAGCCCAGGAACGGTGCATGAATGATATGCTAAGGCCTGAACAGCAGGCCTAAGCCTGAGGAGACTTATAAGATGAATCTCAAGCATAATACTAATAATATCATCAAGGTTCTTTAGTTAAAAATAGATGATCAAAACATTTATATTGGTTATTCTTAATGCCAAACGGGCTGTTGTAGAGATGTTTCTATAACCTTGTGTAGGATATATCAAGAAATTTTCCCTACAGATATCCCTAGAGACTTGTCAGTAGAATATTTAGGCAAAATTCTCCTGGCTATGGCCTGGGCTCTGGCCAAGCCCTGTCCCCAGCTGGTTGGGAAGTGGGCCATCAGATGTTTTCTGCACAAAAGATAAACAAGTCATTTGGACTTGTCAATTTGGGCCTAAAAAGCTGGATCTCTTTTTTGGGCAAGCTGGAGAGCTCAGCTGCAGGTGGATGAACCATGTGGGATTTCCCAGTTGCTGGGAAGGGTTCTCCAGGCCACTGCTGCAGAACAGGCCTCCCCAGGCACTGCAGGCTCTGGCTGAGGGTGGAGGGTTCAGGCAATTGGTGATGCATCTTCCTCAGCCACTATTCTCCCTCTCCAGCTCATATAGTAATGACTAGATGAAGTAGCTTGCTTATTTTTACTTGTTGCTAAAGCCAAGAGAGTAATAAGCTTATTGTTGTACCAAATGTATCCTTTTACTTCCATTTTGCCTCAATATTAATAGCAAACAAGACCATTCTTCCTATTGGTGTCTGTGTCCATTCTATTGCCCCTGTCGACTGGCAAAACAATGAGCAAGGGAGGGAAGCAGGGAAGGGGCACAGGGAGGGGATTCATTGCTCAGAAATGCCTATAGGGCTTCTCTGCATCTGGCTCTTGCCTGAAAACACACACTTGCCTTGAAGACAAAGAAATCTAATTAAATGTTTGAGAATACACTCTGCACTTGCAGTCCCTGCAGCACACAAAGGCAGAGTGCAGCTCAGCAGCTGCCAGCCAAAACCCAGCTTTTTGTTCTTAAAACACAGACACACTCCTGTGTAACCACACAGGGAGAGGGAGCATCCATCATATGATCCTGTGGCCTTAAACCACTGTCAGCAAAGGCTGAGGCAGAAGCAACAAGCCACATGTGTCAGAACAGAGAGAGAGAGAGAGAGGGGGGTGCCAGGACTGGGTATGGGAGGGTCCCAGGAGGGTGAACGCAGCAGCAGCTCCTGCTCCCAGAGGCACTGAGTGACAAGCAGTGCCCGGCAGCTGGAAGAAACCTGCCTGAGGAAGCACTTGTCCTTCCCCACTTTCCCTGTCTGGCTGTCACCAGCAGCTCCTCCTCAGCTGGGACAGGGCAGAGCTCGGGAATGTGGGGCAGATCCAAGTGGGATTCTCAGATCTGTTTCCTATTGGCTTCCAATAGAGGAAAACATGGCAAAGAAACAGAGTGTGATACACAGAGCTGCTGTTCATTACCACGTTGCCTCTCCAGTCTCTCTTTGCTCCAGCTGTTACAGACCCACCTGGTTTTCTTTCACTTGAAATGGAGGAAGGAAATGGTGCTGTTGGCTGTGAATGCTCAGCCATGTCCTCAGCACACTGGGTTTAGACAGCCCATTTTTCATGCTGCTGTCAAGGTGAGTCATTAAGCCAGTGCCCAAAAGCTGAACAGTGCTGTTTATCAGACCCCTTTGATTCCTCTTGCCTAACTTCAGGTGTGCAGAGTTTCTGTGCTCAGCTCACATCATCAGCTCATCCCTTCACCACCCAGGAGAGATGTCTGAAGTGAGTTTGTAGCTCTCTGGACAAGCCCATCCCTCCCTTGTGTAGATGACAAGCTTCCACTAGATTATTAATTGCCTTAACTTAGCTGGCAGGAATTTCATCTTTGCGGATTTTTTTTAAACATTGTCATTTAAAACTCACTCTGAAAAATATTCAAAGCAGAAATACACTCTTTCTGGGTGCTGAGAAAAGTTTATTTGTTTTCTTACAAAAATACCTGTCTTTCATGTAAAGGAAGTTCTGGTGCATGAAGCCAGTCAAAGAAATCTGAAGTGCAGTTTATTTTCTCCTGTCTCTGAACCCAAAGAAGAAAGACCAACTGCTCAGGTTCTGTTTTTGATCCAGACCACTGCTAACCTCCATAAAATACCACAAACCTCATGCTGTCTTCTGTCAGCCAGCAGCAGAAAGACTGGAAGATACCTACAGCAGTGGTACTTCAGACTACTAGGAAAATCTGTTGTTTTCCAAGTTAATAAATAAAAGGCAAGCACCTTTCTCCCAACAATTTCTAAAAACAGCAATACCCTTCAATTTAACAGCAGTTTTTACCCATGAACCCTGAAAAAAAGGAGTAATGAGAGTCATGTAGCCCACAAAAATTAAAGACATATGAATTTACAGGTATTTTTTCACTGACAAACCCAAAAGTTGTCAGGTGTTCCAGTCAATAAACTCCAACAGAAGACAACTTGAAAAGAGGCAAAAGCAACTCAAGTGTTTATCAGTAAAGGATCCCAGTACAGTGAGATAAGAGTATGTAAATGTGACTTTCTCAGGGACACCAAACCCACTGAGGACCGCTAATGACTAAAATGCAACTACTGCTGTGCAAGGTCTGTGGTGGCAAAGGCAGAAGGAAACAAAATATAACACTGAAGTGGTTGACTATGAAAATAAAAACATGACAGCTTGGCCAAAATAAATGGTGGGTGAAAATCCCCCCTCTGGGACATGGGATAAGGTGGGATACATCCCACAGGAACAGGAAGCACCCCTGGGATATGTAAGTCACTGTACAGGGCCCTGATGAAATCTCAGAATAACAACAAAGCTGGAGTCTCCCAAGTGAAGGAAAAAAAAAAAAAAAAAAAAACACAAAAAACTGCATTGGGCTGGAGGAGTGGCCAGGAAGGACTGGAGGGTGCCTCAGTGTTGTGGTGTGTTTTGCTTTGAATCCATGTTTGCCCCCTGTTCTCCTCCCTAATCCCCTCCCTTACCCAGTTGCCAATTTTCCCAAGCCCTTCCCTAACCTCCTCCCTTCCAAGTTGCCAATCCTCCCTATCCCTACCCCTTTCTCCAGAGAGTTCTGTGTCTGTCTTGTTGCCCTCGACACCCCGTTTGTTATTTTGTATTTCATCCCCCATCCCAATTTTCCCTGATCTGCCCATAAATTATTTGCCCCACCTTATACTCCTCTCTTACCATGTCCTCACTGGTTCACCTTCCCACACCCCTACTCCTGAGCTGCTGTATAAAAACTTCTGTTCACACCCCTCCAGTCTTGTCGGGGAGCCCAGGAATAAATAAATCCATCTTGTCCCACCCCAAGCCCCGTGCCACCGCTGTGTGTCCCTGCTCTGTCCCTGCCGGTAACTGGGAACTGCAGCGCTCACAGGGGACGGTCACAGCCCTGCTACAGCCCCCAGCGCGCCCTGCACGGCACACGCTGCAACACCTCAGCAATCAGAACACCTCATTTGTAGTGAGTCAGGAAAAGGAGTGGCTTGTTTACCCCAAAAAAATGTCACCATTGCATTGCATAATTCCAGCAGGGCACACAAGAAGTGCCCAAACCAGCATCTGTTTGCAGGAACAAAGATGAATCATCCCTGAACTGGCTCAGTGCTAAAAAGAGTGTTTTATGAAAGTTCTTTGATGCAACATCCCCAGGTTGAATTCATCCATCCCCTGTGCCCTCTGTGTGGGTGCCTCATGTGGGCAGTGTGATCAAGGAGTGCAGATCTTCCAGCAGCAGCTCCTCTCTATTGTGTGTTTGGCTCCACCAGATCTACTTCTTTTTGTAAGGCAGCAGCACCTGGAGGCTGTAGGACAGCAGAAGGTCCCCCTGAGAGCTGCATCTGCTGCTGTCTCTGTGGACCAACAACTGTTCCACAGCCCCACTACCACACTGCTGGTGGCACCACGGAGGAGATCCCAAACTCAGCTCCTCAAACTGCTCCCAGGCCTTAGCACACCCAGCCCTCTGTGCATGTTCCTACCGAATCACTTGCAGAGACAAGGAATTTCAGGAAGAAAGGATAGCCAGTAAATGCCCCAGTAAATGCTGCAAAAACTACCATCAGTTTGGGGTAAATACCAGGACTCACAAGATCAGGTTTACACCTCTGGAAAAAAAAAAAACCAAACAAATTGGTGCACTAAGCAAGCAAACCAGAGTTTTCTCAGAGTTTTCTGGTTTGTGTCCTTTCAGCTCCTTGCTGGAAGTCTTCATTCAGCTCGAGTCTCTGACAGCCCTGAGTTCTCTCCTCTGTTCTGTGTCATCCCTGTCTGCCCCTTCACTGCTGGGGCCACAGCTGGCCATGCCGGCTGACTTGGAGCAGCACAACGCTGCCAGGTCCCAAGCTATTGCCTGTGCAAAGCCCACCCCAGCCTGGGTCTCCTGAAACTTCCCCAGATTTCCATAAAGCCTGCAGGAACCCCAAGAGTTTTAAAGGTCTGCTCCTCTGTCTCATTTGGCTGAGAGTGGCTCCAGAAGTTACTGCCAGACAAAAGACAGCACCACAGCATGTGTATATTTACTGCAACTCCTTAAGGCAGCTCTAACCCCCCAAATTAGTGGCCAGCAGACAGCAACTGGGTTGAGTCAATCCTCTCATATTTGCCTGATGTATTTGATGCTTTGAGAGGGCTGAATATGTCAATTAGTTTAGGAATTTCCCTCCATTGCTAGCCCTGGGATCTCCTCTTGGAGAAATGCTGGAGCAAATTCATACTCCAGAAAGAATTACTGAATTTGTAATGAATTATTCTCTGACCTTTCCTTTTTGTTGGCTTTGCACACCAGTTATACACAGAACAACTGTAGTGGCACAATTCCACATCTGATTCTGCTGCTCTTGAGGTTTATCTGAATCTTCCCAGGGCTGCATCAGACACTGCTGGGCAGCACATGGCACAGCTCAGACTGGCAAAATCAGCATACTGGAGCAGTGCAGCTTTAACCACACTACTGTGTGCCAGTCACTCAGCAAAGCAGCAGTCACAGGCAACAGCTGTCAAGTACTTTGGATCAGAAATGTCATTTGGAGAGAACCAGTGCACAAAAAAGAGCATTTATGATCAGGAAACTCAAGAGACTTGTGAACAGCTGCAAAGAAGAATCAGCATTTCTGGCTTCCTATTTACAGATGCTTGCACAAATAAATCAACTTGAATGAATTCACCCTGAGGAATTCACAGAGGATGTGCCAGGCTCAGTCAGTCCTGGGGCCATAAAATCCCAGGGCCAGCCAGAGCCACACTCTCAGAGCAGCTTTACCAGCACAACCCACACCTTTGTGACAGAGAGCCTGAGAGCAGAGGAGCTGCCACAAACAGGCTGAGCACTGAAGCTCTCCTTATGGCCTCAGGACCAGCTCTGTTGTCTTGTGGCAGTGGATGAGAGAAGCTCTGTGAAGGAGGCAGCTGAACCCCAGTGAGGCAGTGAGCACTGTAGGAAACAGTCCAGGGACCATCTGAAGGTGGTTTTGTAGCATGAAGGGATTCATGTTCCAAGCAGCCATGGTCCAGAAAGTTTATGTGACTGACCACCTAACCCCACCAGTCTCTCCAGTCCTGGGAACAGTACATGCTGGGTCACCTGGGCCTTTAGGGACCACATCCCAGAACTCAGCCTTTCTCCATTTCTGCAGGCAGGTGCAACTCTAATCTACAGCTCAGAGGCTGCATAAAACCAACCAAAAGGTTGCCTTGGATATTATCCAGGTCTTTTCAATGGCAACACCAGCACGCTCAGCAAAACCTAGTTTTAATTACATGAAAAATTAGTCTTCACATACCACATGAAATGCCTTTTTCACTATTGCTAATTTTTAGGAGTTGATCATGTCTTCCTTCCACTTGCCTCCATTCAGATGAAGTGCCATAAAGACTATTTTTGTGTGAGACTGTGTGAATGGGCTGCACATGTACCCAGGGATGGGGATGGAGGCATGGTTGTTGGAGAACAGGGAAGTCCATGCTGGGAAGGTGGGTGATTGAAAGTCTCCTCAGAACTCTTAAGCTCTGGAGCTGTTGAAACCACACAGACTGAGAACGTGAGTCAGCCAAGAGCCTTCTGAACACAGACACGGTCACAGCGCTCAGCACCCTCACGACAGCCATGACTCCCACCACAGCCACAGCAAACACGCAGGCACATACCATGGGCGTCTGTGAAATACCTGAAAAATAAAGAATTGTCTGAGGGGATTTCCAGACAGCTCAGAAGCCACCGACACCTCGTCCGAGACGGGCCCAGCCCGCCAGGCCTTGCCCCGGCTGGGCAGTGCTCCCATCCAGAGGCACCTGGGATCCACAGGCGGGAGGGATAGACCGTGGTCAGGCCGATGCCCCTCGAGAACAGACACATCCGTGTCCTCTGGCGGAGGAGGGGCTGTCCCGTGTGGCCGTCCTGGGCAAAGGGGACCCGAACGGGACAGCTCGGGGGACCGGAGCGGGACCCCCGCCTGGCCACGCCAAACGCGCTCCTGCTAATTTAGCCCCCCCCGTGGCCGCCGTAGTTGTGAGTGGTGTCGGGAGGCGGTCGCGTGAGGGCCGCTGGGATGTGTAGTCTGCCCGGGCGGGCCGGTTCATTGGCGGCGTGCTCCCCGGCGCCGCCCGGGAACTACAGCCGGCGGCAGCGGCGGACCGCGCGCCGGGATGGCGGCCCCCTTGGTGCTGGTGGTGCTGGCCGCCGTGACGGTGCGCGCCGCGCTCTACCGCTCCAGCCTCGCCGCCTTCATCGCCGAGCGGGTCGAGGTGGCGTCCCCGCTAAACGCCTGGAAGCGAGGTGAGGCCCCGCGAGCCCGGGCCGGGGCGCTGCTGGCCGGGCCGAGCCCCGCGGCGGCGGCGCGGAGGAGCCGGGGCGGCGGGACCCCCCGAGCCGGGCAGGCCGGGCCCCGCGGGGAGAGCGCCCGGGCAGGGCAGGGCCGGGCCGGGCTGTGCTGTGCTCTCCCGGGCCCGAAGCAGAGCTGCACGAAAGGGCCCTGAGCAGCTGTGCCCGGGAGGAGCCCATGGCAGCCGGTGCTCGGTGGCTCCGGGGGCGGGAGGGCCGCGGGGCTGGAGGCAGAGGCCGGGGCTAGAGCCGGGGCGTCGCGGTTCACGGCTGGCCGGGGACACTGGTAGTGTCACACATATGCACGAACGGGCGTGACCCGCCCAGCACGGAGCGTGTGGCTCCTTCGGCCTCGGCCGGGCCCGCTGCGCTGTCCCTGCACAGGCACCGTGTCGCGGTGGGAATGCCACTGCACGGGCTCCGGGTCACTTCCCGTGGTCAGCTGGTGGCCCCACACGTTACTGGCGATTTAAATTCTCTTCTGAAGGCTGAGTAAGGTCCTGAGTTATCGGGGCTTTTCAGTGACGTTCATCTGTGTGTCATCTGAGCTTAGGAACCTTAGTTTATTTTAAAGATGTCCCTTTGGTATCCAGTTATTATGCAGGTAAAATTATTTGCAGTTTTGGGGTGGAAAAGAGTGGCCAGAAGTAATAAGGGTCAAAAGTACAAGTGTATTGGGTGACTTGAGGCCTCTGCTCCACAGTATATAGCACTTCATGCTTCCTGTGCTATTGAATCTTTCTAAATACCACCTTAGAGCATCAAGGTAGGTATCTAGATAGTAAAGGGAAAAGGTGGGATCATCTTGAGAAGTCTGGGTTGTCACCATACAGGAAGTTAGTGGCAGCCAGAATCTATTTCTAATAGAAATATTTATGTAACACTGAACTTCACACCTCTTGTGTTTTCCTGCAGCGTCCTGCCTGTTTCCCTCTGAACAAATGGACCATTTCCCTTAGCTTCTTTTCACTGCATAGTGCTCAGTCCCAGGGAACCTCTGTGCTTAGGAGGGTGGAGCTTCCATGGCAAAGCACACACACACATTGCCGAGCGAGCTGTAACTCCATGAGCACAAAGGAGCTGAATTAAGGCTATGAAAGGGCAGGAAGTTTCAACAAGAGATAAAGCTTTTAGCTTTGCCTGGCAGTGTGTTCATTTCTGTTCTTCCCTTGTGATTTCGGACGTTTGAGGCCTCTCTTCATCTAATGAGGCAAACCAGTTCAAGTTCTATACTATGTTGTGGCTGTCCTCTTGGAATTAAGTATTTCTCCTGCATATATGCTACATGTCACTTAATAGGTGACTCAAAAGGAGGAGATACCATACATGCAATTTATACAGAATTAAGTGCAAAATTTTTCATTTCCAACATTTTTAGCTGAAACATATAAATAGGTGATGAGTGCCCGTGCAGGAACTTGTGCAGCAGAGCTGGGCTGAATCTCTTTTGGCTGGCTGTTGGCTCTGGGAGGTATGGTGTCACTCTTAGAGTGTCAGTATTTTGAAAACTGCAGTTCTACCTTCATGGGATCTCTCACTTCCCACATTACAGGGTTCTAATGCAGGTATTTTGTCTGTTTCAGTGGTCGAAGGATTAGCCCTGCTGGATTTAGGGGTCTCGCCATACTCTGGAGCTATTTTTCATGAGGTTGGTTGGTTTGCATGATGGGTTTTAAATGTGATATTCCAGTGGCAGGGGTCTCAGTGTGGCTGCTCAGGGCCTAGAGAAGGCTGGGGGCCTGTTTTGTCCCAAAGACTGCAGAGAACCTGAAGTTGTGTGGTTTATCTGAGCAGTGGTTCCACAGTGGTTCCTCCAGCATGAGGAAATCCAGATAATCCCACTGAATTCCCTGTGCAGGGGCAGGCAGTGTCATATTTGTTACTGCATAAAGAAACTCTGAGACAAGGGGGACTCTGTAATAAGTCAAATGCTCTGTTCACATCCAGCTTTCCTCTCAGCACAAGCTGGAGTAGGGACAGTGTCACTGTGAGTCTGATAGGATTTACACAGTATCAACACCTGGAGTCTCTGCATTTGCAGAAATTCTAATAGTAGCACAAGCATGCAGTTTATTTATTTCTTATCTTGAAAACACCTTGTGCTTACAAAAACACTTAAACACCTGTGAGGTTTTGTGCCCTCAAATGCCCTTACTGACATGAAGGCACATTCATACATGGTGTTGCCTGGGGTAAAGCGAGGACTTGGTATCCTCTGAAAACAGGATCCTTTTCAATACATTCTATTTCTTTAGACATAATTTTCCCCAGACTGTGAAATATTTCCCATGCTTATTTAGACCATCACATTACTTTTAAAGCTTTTTAAAAAGAAATTTATTTTCTCACAGTGAAGGCTGAATTTGCAGCATGTAAATATAGTCCTTCCAGACTAAGCTTTTGTGTGATGGGAATCATCCAGAAACATGCTTTTCCTCTTACCTTAAAAGGGAAAAGCTCTAGGAGTAAGAGGATGATAGGATTGTAACCCTACAGCTTTATGTTTTTAACATGCTTTTTTCTTTTTGCTTTATAAAAGACACATCTAAACAGCAGGGGAACCAGCTATATATGAAATCTTTCCAAAGTACCTGCAGACAACCTAAAAAATAGATTTTCTATAAAAAATTACTTTCTAAAGCTGGTCTTTGTATGTTTTCTATTGTAAGTCTACCATTATTGTAATAGAATTGAAAAGTTGGAGTAGAACACAATTTTCAGAGTTGATGGTGCCTTTTATAAAGTGCATTGAGGATTTTGCAAGGAAAAAGACCAGTAAGTGTGCTTTGATTAATCACTTTGCCCTGAAATACCAGTGTTGGAGTAAAGGCCAAAGAAAATAACCTTTGGCAGTATCTAGTAGAACTGCTCAACTCTGGTACTTTGTCTCATCAGACCACTGGTATTTTATCTGGTCAGTATTTGATATGGATTTCCCTTTTGCTCTCTTTCAGACCCCACTGATAATCTATCTCTTTCACTTCCTAATTGAATATGCTGAACTGGTGTTCATGGTAAGTGCTCATGGAAAGCTTCTCCTGAAAGGTCCCATTCAGGGAAACGCTGAGTGTGACTTTCTTTTTTCAGTCCTTCAGCCTCCCTGTAGCTCAAATTCCTGCAGAGATCAGTTAATTAGAAAGGCAGCTTTGCCTGCACAAACCCACTTTCAGACTTCTCCCTTCTTGTACATAGTCCTTCTTTTTTGTGAGTTCTTGCTCAGATAAGTATCCCCACACAGGGATAGTAAGGTGTCATTTTATTTTGAATTTCAAACATTATCTCTTACAGGCAACAAAATACTGTGTCCCCCCAGCCTAATGCCTACACTGCTGTTTCTGTCTGCCAAAGCCCAGATGTGCAAGGAGCACAAATGAGTTCATCCCCCAAATGTCTATTGTAAATTGTTACCAGAGTTCTTTTGCACAATTCAGAAGGATAACAGTCCTGTAGCTGGCTGCACACAGCACCCAGTGGAGCCTCTGTGCCCAGGTCCCTGCCAGGCAGGGTTTGTGCAAAGCCAATGCCCCGTGCCCTGTGCTGCTGCCTGGGCAGTCTGGGGCAGCTCAAGGCACTGTTATGCTACTCTGGTTGTCAGGTGGGTTCAACCAGCTGGGCACTGCCCAAGTGTTGCTGCGCTCTCACTACACCAGTGATGCTCTCTAATAGTCTCATGTACTGCTCTCCATGGACAATTTCTTTCCTCTTAATTCCCCATTCTCTTGTTTTGTGAATGTAAATATTTTCTATACAGCTCATGTGTTCAAGGTGAAGTGATATGTAAGAGTACTGTACAAATCAGCCTTTCAGGATTTTTAAAGCTTGTGTTTCATGAGCTGAGCTGAGTCAGATCAGAGCTGACCAATACATTTTTCTCCATTTGTTTATTTTGCTTACAAGCAGTCTCTCCCTTGCTTTTTTAGATAACTGATGTGCTAACTGCTGTTGCCCTTTACTTGGCAATCCAGGACTTCAACAAAGTTGTGGTAAGCTGACTTCCCAGTGTTGCTGGTCCTCTTCTCCCAGCAAATATGATTATCTTGGGCCAAAAAAAAAGATGTGCCAGAGGATGTGGTGTCAAGTTCTAATTGCAGTAAATCTGGTCATATTTTAATGATAAACAAACAGGACTGAATGTGCAGACAACTGAGGCATTTTAAATTCTGTTGTGGCACTATCACAGTGTCTGTAGCAACACACTGAGTGGTGATCACAGCAGTGTACAATCTTCTCCAGCCTGGGTGTGATACCTTACAGAGGGTTTCTTTGCACATGAGCATGAGGTCATACACAGACTAGAAATGTGTAAAGGAAGGAGTGAAACCTACCAGCAGTTCTGAGGTGACATAGATCATTCTTGTGAGCATGGTAAAAATCTGACATCAAATACTACTCGTTTCCTTCAAAATATAAAGATGTGTATTTGGAGGTGATTGATTCCTCCCAGTGCTCAAAGAACATTTTGTGTAAGCAGTGCTGTGCTCTTTGCAGTTCCAGAGGGGTGGGATATCTATATCAACATTAGCAGAGGGCTGCATTTTCAACAGCATCTCTGTGGTCTCCCACCCAGCTATGAGATTGTTCCCTGTCCTCTGACTTTGAGGTTAAGGAAATAACCCAGGATAGAACTGCAGGCATGTGAGAATTCCACATGTGAG